TTTATGTTATGAGCCCCATGTAATAGGGGGTGAGCCTATTGCCATATGTCATGTTTTTTTATCTGTTCTGCTGATCACTGGTGCTCCAGGGTTGGGAACCACTGCACTACAGGGTCTACAGGTATTTCATCATCGATTTTATTGCGTTCAACCCTAACTCGTAAACGATTGTTAAACATGAATAATTAGAAAACACAATGGGAATATGGCGAACGCTCATTGCGGTAAATGGTTTACTTGAATAAATTATTGGCTGGCCTTTATTCTTTAAGTACACTAGTAAAGTCAGTCTTTCATTTGTAGACTAGAAATTACTGAGGACCTGAATAAAATTTCCCATCAATTTAATTTAACTGCAGACAGAAATTTAGTCGACATACGGCCTCTAATTAGTTTTAAAATACTTTAATGTTTCAACATTGTTTCATTTTAAAGCTATGAAAATGAATATTTAAGGTTTTAATCCTGTTATAACATGAAGAGAGTTAATTAGTTGTCGGCACGTGAAATTGGACTTTATTTCTGTGATATACGATTTAAAGTGACACGCGATGGAGAGCCATTTCAAAATTACAATAATATATGGAACCCCTTTACTTGTATTGTACATACATATGTTAGGTGGAATAAATCTAGTGTTATTTTTTTAACCTCAGAGTAAATTTTGTTTCAGCAGTTGTCTGTAATTTTGTTTTTTATTAAATTAAGCTTGAAACATTGAGGTAACTTTGCCCAATACACTGTGAAATTGATATTACGTACTGATTGATGAGACTATTATCAAAACATCATTGAACAACCTGGGTATTTCACACCCAAATGACGGACAATACCATCACTGATTTCGTAATCATCAGATTTGTGTATCCTCTTTAGCAAATCATGTTTATTTAGTTAGTCAATCCTGTTATACATATCGATAGGTAAACAACCCACAAAGCCAGTCAATTGTATGAATACGACAGACTGGTGACTACTTATACTAATTTCTTCCACGTGTATATTTCAGGGACGCAAATATACGATTACTATAGTTTTTAAGCGGTGTTGCTCGCACTCTGATAAAGAGTTGGATTTACAAAAAAAATATGCACTATTTTTTGTTAGTCGCAAATAGTTTGCATATCAATTTTTAGCTTTTAGCTTTCTATCTGAAAAATTGCGAAATATCCACCCCAGATTTTAGAGAGGTGTATAAAAAGTGATAAAAAGGCTATGTCACTCTCAGTCCATTTATCTATCTCCCCTTATAAAATCATATCAATGAATCTCTTCGTTTTGCCGTGAAATAAGAACAAACAAACAGATACAAAAACTTACATTTATAGTATTAGTATAGATTCACTTGTGGATACCTATTCTAGGAAGTTAGAGAATATATCCCGTTTCGCTACAAAGTCCCGTCGAACTAAACTTTTACGATATGTTTCCCGTCAAACTTTAAACTGTGATTTATCTTTGCTACGCTACGTGGTTATTGTGGGAGCTGAGATATTGTACCTTTTAAACTGATTACTCTGCTAAATGGCATACTTTAGATTGCTGAAGTGGAATCAGGAATTAAAAATAGAATTTCTTTTAGAGTTCTACTGTCATCGCTTTATTAGTTACTAGCAAACCCGGCTAACTCCGTTTCGCCACCAGATGGCTTCGTTTTATGAAACATTTCGTTTGGTGATTAAAAGATGAAGAAGAATTTTTTTTCCTGAATTTTTTTTTTGGTATTTACCTCACGGAGTCCGAGACCTTTCCAACGAATACAAAAACCGTGGAAATCGGTTCGTGCGTTCTGGATTTATAGCGTCAGGAAGGAAAACCCGACTTATTTTTATATACCTAGTAGATTTGACCGAAAAATATTTGTCCTTGTTATTAAAGTATGACTGTACGATAGGAGATGGCGAACACGCTTTGAACATTACCACAAAGAATGACTCACTGTAAATATAATAGAGACCCAGTTACATAGTACTGTTTACCGTACCTACTATACGTACAAATTAACCCTATAACTAAGGGCAAATACCCTAACACCACCAAATTACACCATAATCTTCAACAATAATAATTACCAAAATGCATTTACTATGAAACTATGATAGGATTACCAACAGACCGATTACCAGTTGCCGTCAGAATTATCCATGGTCACACACACGTGTAATTACAAACAACGATACAACGATACAATTAGACACGGGACATAATAACCTCACTAATTAAATTAACGATACCCATTCGGTAATTGGTTTTACTCCGGTCTCAGATATTATAATTCAATTCGGGAATTACACGTTGTTTCACTTCCCAAATGAAAATGTTTAGCGATTAAAGTTTTAATGTTTTAATTAAATCATTTTGTGGTGGAAGCGAACGTAAATATTTAGACGGATAATTTCATGGTTTCGAATTGCCTAATTTGGTTGAATTATTTTGAAATGTAAGCCTATTTCATATACATAAAACTTGTTAAACATTGTGCCATTTGTTTCGAAGAGATTTGTTTTGGAAGAGGTAGAATTTTGGGACTGCCTCGTTGGCCGTTGCAAGTGCGACTGCCGGACAAGGAGTCTCGGGTTTGATTACCGGGTCGGACAAAGTATTACTGGGTTTTTAAAAAAATTCTCAGTAGTAGCACAGAGTCTGGAATTGTGCCCGGTATATGGCAATAGGCTCACCCCCTATTACATGGGACTCATAACATAAATAGTGAAAAGTGGGTGTTGTACATTGTACAGTGACAAAATGTGCACCTCTACCCCTTCGGGGATAAAAGGCATGATATTATGTTAGAATGCTTTCTTTCAACGACACGTCTGTGTTAAGCTGAAATGACTACAAAGATATTGTTATTTAAAATCACCAGGTCAGCTACTACACTACCATTAATTTTCTTTATTCAATGCCACTTTTCCGCCCCCAACGGTTCAACCTCGGCTTAACCCTTGATGTAAAACCATCCATCAAACATAAGAACAGTGTTTCTCTTGAAATCGATGATAATGACTATGCTCAATATAATATATCTACGAGTATTATTCCCCTTAATTCGCTTCTCTATGAAGGACACCCGTATTCAAAAGGTTAAAGGTAACAGACGAACAGAGAATTAGAAGATATACATAGGTACATATACTATCTAGTTATGTGTGTACATAGACAAGATTAGCCAAATATCTGCTTTGAACGCGACAGTAGCGCAAATTATATTACGTAGGTACCTAGATACTATGCATTTTCTTGTGGCTATACATAAACTGATTAGTTATATTTATAACTTTGCAACGTAATCAAACTACCCCTTTAACAAAAACCAGTAATATATTACCCGACCAGGGAATCGAACCCGATACACCTTACCCGGCAGACGCACTTGCGACCACTCTGCCAACGAGTATACTATAATGGCGGTACTCAACGAGTTAAGTGACTTCACTCGGAGTAGGTTTTGATTTTTTCAACTATTTCTTTAAGTTCATAAACTTTGTTTGGATACGCGGACATTTTTATGGAATAAGCCAGTAAACGAGCTGACGGAACACTTGATGGTAAGCAATCGGCCATGGATACCCGAAATACCAGAGTTGTTGAAGTGCATTACCGGCCTTATGGGGATTAAAAATTTGAGGATTACGGAGATTAGGGAGATTGGGGAGGGGTATAATTGGGCCTCCGGTAACCTCACTCACACGACGAAACACAACGCATGGATTGTTTCACGTCGGTTTTTTGTGAGGCCGTGGTATCACTCTGGTCGAGCCGGCTCTTCCTTCCCAAAATAGTGAGCTAAATTACCTCTATTGAACTTTCATCACAATTATGACAGAGTCACATAGTATACAACTTAGGACAGAAACACAAACAATACTTGCAATAGTTGCAATGTTACTCACATTAATATCATTATGTAACGTAGGTACTTGGATATTGATATTGGCACTTGCTTCAGTTCAAGGCTATGGTAGCGAATAAAACAATGCCGTAATCAGGTGAGCACTACCTTGAGATTGCACCTAAAGTTTGCACGCGACGCAACCGTGCGATGTTGAATATGTATTGTACATAGGTAGATATTGAATCTATGTACAAACGAGAAGCTTTACCTTTATTCTAAGATTTCCGATTCACCATTATATTCAATAACTACATGGTACAAATGTTATTGAAATAAAATTATATTAATTTAATTTTTTTTAAATGGTGCTTATATTATATCATGATTGTGTATATTGCACGAACGATCAGAAAATTTTAACTCCATCTAAAACATACATTACTTTCTGTATGACAATATGAACCATACTATCTAATTAACTACTTATCTACATAATCTACCTGTAGAATATTACCAAGTAATTCATGTAAGTATAATACTTTGTACAAAGTAGTGAAGCCCATCAACTTCACACGCTCCAAATGTTCCATATTTGCTTGTAGGAAAATAAATCACAACTTCGGTAGTTATTGCCCGCTAATCCTTCACTTCGAGGTTTATAACTTTCCTAATATCCGGACAGTGGTCTCTTCGCATTATATTAGATACACATCTAGTCATCTAGTAGAATAAATTTAATTATTTCGGGACCTAAGAATGTTCTTTATCCTTTCTTAGCTTTCTATACCTTTGAAAGTTGCATACATGCATTTCCCGAGTACCCATGAACAATGTTCGACCCAGATTCTGAAAAGATTTATATAGTTTTGTAATTTTGAAATAACTGCTCAGTAAAGGGACGGAGTTTACCTCCTGTAGAGTAATTTCGTCATTGAAAAAATGCGACAGTCTTTGGCTAAACTAAGTGGTCTGATGGAATGATGGCTCATTCTCGGTACTAATCTACCAATGTGTGAGTAAGAAAAGCCTATTTGACAACATTTGCGTCGAGAATATTTTCCTTTGACGTTTCCCTTTTGCCTTGAACTTGGTCTGGCTCGCGTCATATACATATACCTACCAAGTTCTATGTGTAACGTAGTGATGAAATATTTCGTATTTACAGATTGAAGACACAAGCAATCGAAAGGGCGGGGGGACCTTTCTAGTGCCGATGAACGGAGGCATCTGGACGATGTGCGTGTCTCTAGAAGGTATTTCTATTTCTATAAATATTTTGTGCAATTTCTTATGAAGAATTCACGACCATGTGAAAGGTATTTTCCTTTTTCCCCACAAGTGGTCGTAGGGGCGACCTACTGGGCAAACGGTCTTGAATTTCATTCCTGTTGTTCTATGGGACAAGTGACCGCATTGTATGTACATACAACCCTCCTTACGCCTTCGTTCATGACGTCATCTTACTTTTCTTAATAGATCCATTGTAATGAACGGTAATGAATACTTATGTGTACGAATCTTCAAAATAGGTTAATTGGTAAGTAATACCTAATGAGGTTTCGCATTTGGCTTCCAGATTATGCGAACAGAGGCCGACGGAATTACCTACATCGATTTTCCGTATAAAAATGTCGACTCTAACACTGAATTTCTTTTTCAGAGGAAGAGGTGTCGATATTGTCCAGGGTCGGCTTCCCCTCGCAGCCAGTATGCACAAATTATTTAGCAAACAGTGACGATGAGGAGCCTCGAGCTGATTGGCAACATCGTAAGTATTTTATTTTAAGTTTTTTATTTTATTATACCTACATTCTTAGTTCCTTTTCAATTATGAAGTACTTAACGGTTAGCTCGTTGGCCTATCATCAGTTTTTTTAGTTATCAGTCTTAGATGAAAATCTCAATTTGGTATTTTGTCACAATTTTTTGCCTCAGGGTCTTAATTTGACATTATAAAACGTAATACGATACTGCTGTATATTTTTTAAATTCGGGTTAAAGGTCGAGGTCTTCAATTAAGTGCGTAGCGTAGGTTTAATATTTTTTTATATGTGACCACGCAAAACCCTTTCTGAGCTTTTCAATGGTAAAAAATCTTTTATGTTTAAACATACCACACTTTTCTTACGTCACCCAACGTTCAGAAAAGTAATAAAAAAAGAAAAACAACGAGAAAAAGAAAAAACAACTTAGGTAGCATTTAAAATGAGTTGTTAACGCAACATAAAACTGTCATAATTATCCTTTAACGATAATAAAAGCTGTGTTCATTATGAAAACAAGATGATAAATATTCAAGAGCGATAAGTCAAGGTATTCATAAACAACGCCCTTTACATCCCTCGGTGAGCAAGACCTTGAAGAACCATTTGCTTTCGACCAAATTCATTTATCAACGTGTTTTTCGAGAGAAGTATTCGAGTACCTGGAAGGAAGATTTACGGCAAATACTTGAGTACATTTGTTAATCAATATCAAAATATCACCGGTTTATACCGCCGCGTAGGGTACCTAAGTACTAAGTAGGTAAGTAAAGGTATGTAACGGATAGCTCGTGTCGTATGACTCGACTAGGGAACCTTTTTACCTTTCTTGGACTAGGTTAGTACCTATATATCATTTTGGGGCACGTAGGTACCTAACATTCGAGTTGATTTGCTAGACAGTAACTTCGTTCTGTTCTTTACCGATGGGTCAGAGAAATAATGGAAATAACTTTAAATTCTGTAGATATTGGTAAATAGGTAGGTAACCTACTTAGTGTGATAAGCGCTTAACTCAGTACCTAGGTACCTACCTACCCTACTTTATTTCGTTCGTTTTACAACTCAAGCCGCATTTTACAACTTTTTTAATTTTCCGGATTACAAAGTTTACCAAGTAGCCCTCTGCAACATTTTGGAAACCGACGGCCGAAAGTTGCGGTTTCATTTCCATTTTCGTAATACAATTAGATATTTGGAAATTGGAGCATTCACTCAAAAACTTCAGTATAAAAAATAAAAATTTGGGTCAAACAAAGAATGAAATAATGCATACCTATCTCAAAAATACTTAGATATAGTCATTATTCATCAACTGATAGCAAATCCCTGCAATATTACGTAGGTACCTATCCAACTTCCAATTTTATAAATATAGCCATACTCCGGCCACGAGCTCTTTAAATATTAACGTATTTAAAAGTTTTAAATCACATTTCTTGCCTATAAAAAAATCACACCTGTTATGTTAAACTAAAAATTAATGAACCCAAATATATTTTTAGCTAGGAAGTGGAAATATATTTTCTGCACCGTCGTTAATCGCTCCAACCCTTTACATGTTTAAAGAGCCGACCATTCACCTCCGAGCTCCGACGTGGGACGATAAACACCTATTCGAATACAAAATCAACTTTAGGCGATTAATTAAATTTCAAAGCAAATATTTCTTTAAAGCTATTTAGTTTAGGTACCTATATTAACATACTTATGTCTAGAAATTAGATTACTAATTAATAATTGAATATTCGTGAACTTCGTTAAAGACCAAAACTTTTGAATAACATTAAATAAGTCCAGCCCTGAATGCCTTGATAGTGATAACTACCGAAATCAGTCGTTAATTGATTCGTGATGATTGATTTATATCAGACTCTAGTTTATGCTTACTTCAAGGATTTTTTAAGGGGGGATAATCATCGAGTGACTCCTCCCGCCCGGGTGAGGTGGGAAGGATTGTCAGACTCGGTCGGGCGGCGAGCCAACCATGCTCGCCGACCGCAGGCCCGCGCTTACGGTGGCCGGACAACGTCCCGCGATCCCCGACGCCCGCGCGGAGTGTACTTCGCGATGGCTGAGTTGTAAGGAGGCAGCACTTCGCTGCCTCATGCGCCTCGCCTCCTCCTTAGCTAGCATGACTGCTTCGCAAAAAGAGGAGACTGCGTCCCAGTCCCCCTCGCTCCGCATCTTGGTCGGACGCGAGAGGTTGCCGTCGCCGATCACATCCCTATTAGGTAGACTTAGCGACCGATTTTTATCGTAACTGTTTTCTCTTACCGACTAAATTACATCGAAAACTAGGAAATAGACTCCTAAGAATTGAAATTTAATTCTAGGTATGCAGAATCTATCCATATCATGCGCCCTAGTCTGCCTGATTGTGCTGGGCAGCGCCGCATTGGTGGGCGCGTTCGGCATTTGCAAGCATCAGATCAGCGCCGTACTTATTACAGGCGTCATGTATCTATTAGCCGGTAAGTTAACACATCTTTGCTTTTGAAAAGAAATTATAATAATTGCGATAATACAGAAAACATGGACGACGATTAACGCAAATGGCGCCCTCTTGGAAATTTTTATTGTTTTCATTATTTGAAAAAGTCATTGAAGTCATTTTCGTTCACAGGTTTGTTCGCCATGTTCACTCTAATGATCATCCACTTCAAGCGGGTGCAGCGTGTGTCAGCTCGTGGCAGCTCGCACGCGGACGGCACGGGCGACGGAGTAGTCGGTCCACGAGGACCTGCACTCTCACTCCTCTCCGCTAGAGAGTTCTCCACCGCGTGGTCTCTAGAACTTGGCTGGGGAGGAGTCGCCCTCGCCACCACCACCTCCCTCCTCTGGATCCTCCTATCCAAAATCATGAGGTACAACCCTATCTCCGCTATGCTCCTCTTAATCTAAATCACACCCCCTCGATTGAAATCTTTCCTAGATTTTCTTTCATACAAATTACTAGTCAATTACCAATTTTAAGGTTTTGAAATGTTGGTTAGCAGGCGTAACCGTGCAGGGAAGATCTCATTGACGTTTATTTTATAAATACTTAGTACATAAGAATTAAGAAAAAAAAGAACAATTCACAGAGATATTATTTGCTCTATACTCCAAGGCTTTATAGAAAATAGTACCTAAACGTGCTCGTTACGCGACCTTTTTAAATTCTTAACAGCTATAACTTACTTTACTTCGACGTTACGCTTTGAATTTGAATAAGCTTTAGATAATCGCCGAGCTTGCTGCCGTCCATTGCTATAAATATGTTATTGTTATACTTCTCCTTTCTATTTTACGTAATTCCCTACCTAATAATGCTATCTACTAAAATAATTATACAATGTTACATACATACTTACTAACTAAATAAAGTTTTCAAATATTTTAAGTACTCGCTCTACGAAAGAATTGTTAGACGCTTTCATAGTCAGTAAAGTTCTGTGCATTTATTAAATTGAAGATATTGAATAGGTAATATTCGAGTTACCAGCTCCCGGCCTACTGTATATCAAATAAAATGTTTCCAATATCTCACTGTTGGTAGTTGTAGACACACAAAGATAAACAAAAATAGTTTCAGGATCTTTAACAGTAAGAACATAATAATTACAGCTACATATTATTTTAAAAATAATATTTAGCGATTTAAAGAGTTATGGTGCTTTGAGTATCAAAATTATTCAGTAATTTGTGTGTATTATTAATAGATGTATTATTATAGTAATAATTAGTTGTGTATGCTTTGATTTTACTATGAACCCTTTTTATTATAGTTAAGATATTAAATGTCAAATTGTCAGTCCGATATAATGAATATTGTATGTACACTGAACAGTATCAAGCATTTAGATCACGCACATATTCTTTGTAAGAAGTTTGGTTCAAATTATAATATTATGACCTACCTATAATTTAAGTGTACCTAATATTAGTGAATATAAAATAGTTTAAGTTAGTTACAAAACTAAATAAGAAGGGTATGAAATATTAATTATAATTACTTATTACTTTATATTATTTTAGTAGAATTATATTAAATCTCTATTTATAAGCCCTTTACTAATCTCGTAGATCGAGAATGGGTGTACTTAATTATAACTGTATAGTTCAATGGTTTGCATTAGATAAATAGTACCTTAAGTTCCATATAAACCTTATTACAAAATTATAGTTATTTATTTAGATGATTCTGGCATACCTCTTTCGCTTGATCAATCTCTTCAGGCATGCTCGTCTGGGTATCGAAATGTACAATCGACAAAGTTAGCGGTCGACCATCATTAGGCGATATTCGCTTGCACTCGGCGCGAGCGATCACAGAGAACAGATGGACAGTGTAACAGTGTGACAGTGTGGTGGATAGCGAGTTTGCCACAAGTTTTTGTTTAAAAAATGTACTACCGTTAACTTTGTCGATAGTACCAATACATTTTAAAAGAAGTATGTCAGATTCGTCTCATCTAGCGTTCTATTGTCTCTGCCTACCCCAATGGGAGACAGGCGTGACGATATTTATGTATTTTAAGTGATATATGTACTAAATACAGTTGCTGATATAAAATATTACAACTACCTATTGCTTAAAAGCACGTATTTTGTAAAAAAGCATCGTTCCCATTGTGATGTTCGTTCGTTCGGTGTTTTTGTTAATTGTTCTTTTATACTTTGAATGCATAAAGCAATATATTTATTTTGTTTATAAAAGTGGAGTTTTATTGGTATCTATCCTTTTTGTAGAGAACAAGTAGGTACCTAGTAATCTATGCTATAAAATCTTAGGGTCAATAGTTAATTTCCAGTAAAACTGTAGCTTTTCAGTTCTTACTACTAGAAAAACTAGACAACTTATCAAAAACTACTGAGAGTTGTATAAACTATCACCAATAAAGAAAACAACAGTAAGTATTAATTAATAAAATATAATATAACAACTTGCTTAAAACTATATTTACAAGAGTTGATCTCAAAACAATCCTATGACTTAGTACATAAAGTCAATTAAACTGTCAAACACCAAGCGGTCACCGGTGACCGCGACCTATTGTTCTTTAATTGTGTCTATAAAACCGGTACTCGACGAGTTAAACAACAACGGTAAAAACCAGTTTGCAATTTTCATACATTTAGATACTTAAAGTACCTATATAAAGGGGCTCCTGAGCTGATCTATGCTGAGAACCCTTATACACCGTGAAATCTATTTCGTTTTCGTCCCACGGCAAACTGCCATAAGTTGAACTTTTTATGTATAAAGTAAAAACAAACAAAAGATCTAATGGGAAATACCTCTTCGAGAATAGGGTAGGTAGATGACTAATTTTTATTTCAATGTCCGGTTGGTAAATAATTTAAAAATATTAAACATGTATTTTTTATTTTCTTACGGATCCGAATAGTTTCAAAGATATATTGATTTAAAATATCGCATGACGTCACTTTTGTGTACGATTTATACTCTAAAATGACGTAGCTATCTCCCACTCCTAAACTTTAGTTCGTTTTATCAAGTATTGTTTTCTTACACGACAAAATAAAAAAATACGTGTCTAATATTTTTTCAATACCTAACTGACGAACTTTCTTAATTTTCTTACCCTGTCATCGTCCCTATTATGGCGTGATGTTTTGATTATGTACTATGACTTCATATGCACTATCGATAGTTGCTATTTGCAGTGGTTCACCAGTTATTTTTGTTTTAAACATTTTATTTCTTTGTAAAACTATTGTGTAACTGAGACAGAACCATTTTACTTTGGGACGAAAACAAAATAGAATTCACGGTGCAGATGTTGATGGTGACCACCAGTGTGGTTTTAGGGATATAAGAATCCCACACTTCCTTGTCCCAAAATCTTGTATATTTTTGGGGCTCCTCTCATAAAAAAGATAATATTTATAGTACACTAGCGGACCCAACAGACGTTGTCCTGCATATCCACTTGAATGTATAAACAAAAATAATAACCCTAACATCGACTGCATAACATCGAATGGATAATTAACCTAAACATCGACTGCAGCGCCATCTGCCGGGCTGATTTGTGAATCTAAACCATTCCCAGATCCTTTGAACACACACAAAACATTTCATCAAAATCGGTGCAGTCGTTTGAGAGAAGTTCAGTGACATACACACTCACAGAAGAATCTTATATATAAAAATTAATTGCTATTCGTTAGTCTCGCTAAAACTCGAGAACGGCTGAACTGATTTGGCTAGACTTGGCCTTTCGTACAAATATTCATGTAACAATAATTGCGTAAATGTTTGCCCTAGTCGTCATTAAGCAATTGGTCTTCGATATCAAAGTCCTCAGCTTTCCGTTTCTTAGGCCTTGGCCTCTTGCCCTGTAACATTTCCATTTTGACCTTCTTGAATTGTTTCTTCTTTTCCTTCAGTTGAAGTTTTCTCTTAGCTGCCTTCTCCGGGTTGTTGACTTTCTCTTGGAGAAGTAACTGGAAAAATATATTATTGTTAGTGAATAGTGTGATTTTAAGTTTAAGAGCCGATTTTTTTGCGTAAGTAGAATAAAATTGATACATGAAAATTTTTAGTGGAAGAATTGTCAAATATTCAAAGTTATTTCTCAGTTAAAATTTATCTGGCGTTGGAAAAATCGGTTCTAAGGATTTTAAACTCTATTACAAAGAACTATGTAGCACTGCTCGTTGGCCGAGTGGCCCCAAGTGCGACTGCCGGGCAAGGGGTCTTGAGTTCGATTCCCGGGTCGGGCAAAGTATTACTGGGTTTTTAAAGATCTCAGTAATAGCACGGAGTCTGGAAATGTGCCCGGTATATGGCAATAGGCTCACCCCCTATTACATGGGACTCATAACATAAAGTGGGTGTTACATTGTACAGTGGCATTAAGTGCCGAAATATGCACCTCTGCCTACATCTTCGGTAATAAAAAGGCGTTATGTTATGTGTAACTATGTAGCAGTAAATTTTATAACTGGCAACAATAACTAATTTTATCTGAACAATACTGTAGTGTTGCCAACTCCATATTATGCATCTATAACTCATTCTAATGTAGATGTATAACAAAAACGGTATAAAAAATATCAAATCATTAAAATTAAAGTCAATACAAACCTTTTTCCTCTCAGCCCTCTTGATATTCAGCTTCATCTGTGCTTCAGCAACGAGTTTACTATACTCTATCTCTCCAATCTTTCGTCGTAATTTCTTTCCAAGTCTACCGGCCAGTTGCTTGGCTATGGTCGCGGGCGTGGTCGCGTCACCCGTTGACAGTTCACGGACTATTGGCGGGAGAATCACGTCGATCACTTTATTCACGTCTTGGCTCTCTAACGCACTGATCACATGTGTCCACATTGTAAATATTGATGTTCTCTGTGAAATATATAAAAAAAGGTTTAAAATAAACAAAAAATACTAGCTGATAAAAGATATTTACTTATTTCTTACTTTACTTAGTCAATAGAAAATAGTATTATCGAATCTCATTCTCTGATAAACATGGACCTTTTAAACTGGTCTTCAATTGGGTAGTTTCCAGGGTATCAAAATTTAAAATCTAATTAGCCCGTCAGTTAGATAATGAAAAAATATTAGACACGTATTTTTTTATTTTCTCGTATTAAGTTGCAATTTAATTAGATAAAATGGCGCTACGTTTAAACTTGTGTAAACTTGTGCTACAAAATGTGGACGTTACACGATATTTCAAATTAATATACAGTCAAAAGTATTTAATTTTGTGAGAAAAGAAAAAAATACGTGTCTAAAGTAAATAAAATTTAGGATAAATTCTAAATAAAATTTAGGAAACTACCATGTTTCGCTTACGATGCGTGTAGAATTTGAGAATAGGCATATACAAAGCATGTATAAAGAAGAGCCTTAGTCCAACAGTGGACGGTCATAGGCTGTAAATGAGAATGCAGTTGACTTACAATATTCATATTACTAGGTGCTCTCGCCACTTCGACATTGATGGCTCTTCTTAATTTGAACAGGATCCAACGAATGTTCATCCTGCTTCCACCTTCGGCTTCCTCGCTGTCCGTCTGCTGAGGTTTCTTGTCTAGCTTAAAACTTGACATTGAGTGCACTAATTTTAGGATTAGGAATAATACTGCTGTCACCTGTAAATAGATAATGGTAAATAGATGATTTTTTCATTGTTATCAATTAAGCACGTAGGTATAAATAAATCATCAGTTGGCTGCACGACGTTCATTGTGTCTGCTATCACGCAATGATACTCATTATTATGAGTCCCTTACATGGCCTGAAACTAGACGAGTTGCCTCGTCCAACAGATACGAGAGTGAGTCGTCGTATAAACGTTTCACGAGAGCTTTAATACTTTAAAACAAAAAGTAGAATTAATGCAAAAGGAGAGAAACCTCACCTGTTCAACCATTTCTTTCGAAGCCCCTGTAGTATACTGCGCGCATAAATCCAGCACCAAACTCCTCAAAACGTCTTCAGTCTCATCATAAATAAATCCTCTATCACACTCAACCTTCTTCTTCACTATATTATCTAATTCTTCTGCATCAACAACAGACAACAACTGCCCCAATATGTTCGCAGATTTTAACCTTACCCACGCGTGGGGATACGCCAGCAACGCTTTACAATGCTGTCCTATATCATCAAATTCTTGCGTGTACTTCTTATCAGTCAAACTGGACGCGCAATGTAAAGTAATCTTCTCGATCAAGTTCAATATTTGAATTAAACTATGATCCTTTTCCTTCTGTTTATCTTCATCAGTCTTGTCATCAGATTGTTCGAGGGTTATTTTTACGAAACGACCCTCAGAAACGTCGTTACTTAACAATAATATTTTGCCGCTAACAAAGGATAAGATTGTATTGAGTCTGTTCTTAAAATCTTCTTGTTCTACGTTCACGAATCGTGTGCTTAGTTGGGCAGCTAGTTCGAAGTGTATTGGCTGTGGAAGTGAAGACGGTGTTAAAATAATAATAAAATTAGGTATATCAAATATGTTTAAGCAGTTTTTATTACACATACCTGGTTATCTTTGAAGAAATTCATAACTACATTGAATAGTTTATTTCTCTCTTTTACCGGGAACTTTTTAAGCATAGCTTCGATACATCCCGCGGCTGCGGCGCGGCACTCGGGCGCACTATCGTTGATCATACATGTACCCAATGCTAGTAGGAGGTGAGAACCGTGCTTTGATAGTTGTGCCTGTAATAACAAAGTTAACTTTAGAATATGTAGAAATATATAAACCATAGACTTAGACAAAAAATCATAGCTATTAATCGATTATACAAATGTAGGTATTTAATTACTTTTCTGTCTAAGAATAAACAACTTTTCGTCGGAACACCAGCGAGTAATTGCCATTTGGCTTATAACACAGATACGAATCCAAAAAATCTTACCGCATTCAATTTATTTATAATCATATCTAAGAATTTCAATGAAGACTCTCTGCCGTGCTGGAGTTCATAGTTGAGCTGGGTCACGAAGAAGTCTATGAACTTCTCCAGTCGTTTGCCAGGTGAGTAATGAGTTAAGTAGGTGACAAATATCAAGCGAGCTTCATCTCTGTAAGTAAATACACAATTTGAAAAATATAAACATTTATAAAATTAATAATGGGCCTATGATTGTGCCCTGAGGAACACCTACTTCATTTGGAAGAAACTTAAAAAATAACTTACCGAGATCTTGCAGATTCACTCAATATACAGATCCTTGATATTTTCACCATAACTTCGTGCAATTCATTGGATACTAATCTAGCTTCTAATATGGCTTTCAGTAGAGAGAATGAGTTCGATTGCTTCTCATCATTCTGACAATCTTCTTCTGCATACAAAAGTAAAGTTTTCAACTGTTCCTCCTCTAATTTATAATATTTTACATTACGGACTAGAACTGTTACCGCCTGTAAAGAAGAATAAACATTGATATGAGTCTCGTAAACGAAAATAGTATATAATGTTTTGTTACATTACAAAGATATAAGATTGCTTACCTTAAAAGCAGTCCTAACTAAATTGAAGTTATCATTCTGTTTGCTTATTTCAAACGTGGCATATTTGTGTAAAGTTATAAATATGGTTTTAACAATATCTTGAATCATTTCTTCTAACATTGGCGTGGATATTCTGATCGTCCACAAAGTCGCTATGCACTTCATGGCCACCGTTGTCACCTTTACGTGGTCACTTTTCAAAGCATCTACTAGTAGAGGTATAAGTGGATCTACAAATGCTCTGCAGTCCATCCTCGGTACCTTTTCTCTCTTCAGAATTACGTATAGAATATTCAAACTGAATTCTACTAAAACATGAGCGTTAGCCTTACCAGACGTTCTAACGTGTTTAGCTTGGGATTCCTTATTACGTTTTGGAGTTTCAGGAATAAGGAAACAATCTGGTTTCGCTCTTAGCATTGACTCTCTTTGTTTTTCAGTTATCTCTCGCTTTGGAGCACCTAGTACGAACTCTGGTATGCTTTCTGAAGCCACGCCGTGTAGGAATATGAAGAGCGATTCAATGTCTATGAAGTTGTTGGTCACTAAACCACTAGTAATGTGCATGAGGGCTTCTTGAACCTTTAATACTATTTTCTTTGAATGATGTTTCTGCAGGACTTCTTTGAAAGGCAGGACCAAATTGATAAGGCACTGTTCTGTTATATTTTGAGACACTATCATTAGTGTGACGTAGCTTTTCTTGCTGGGTTTTGCTTCTGGGGTCTTATAGTGTAATTTGTCAACTTCTTTCTCTTCGGATAATGCACCGAAAAGATCATTTGTACACACATCTAGTATGTAATGTAGATTATTATTGAGATCTCCTGGTTTGAATTCTGATTTCAAAGCATCCAGTACTGTATGTATTGTGGCGACTAAGACATGCACTTGGAATCCTCTAGTTAGTAATAATGTTAAGTGCTCAAGCAGAACTCCTAGGTATGAAGTTCCAACAGTCAGCATAATCTTTTTGACGATATCTCGCGCCGTTATTCTGACTTGCTTTAAAGGTGATTTGAGGAATGAACAGAGTTTTATGATGATTCTAAAAGGAATAAAATAAAATTAGATTAAGATTTGTTTTTTTAGAGTCCAGCCTTTATGAAAAACTTGGCTCTATGTTAGTATAAATAGTAAACTCACCCAGGCAACTGATGTTTCAACAGACCACCAGGCAGTCTCTGCAATAACTTGACAAGTGCCAAGGCTATGGGAACTCGCAACATATCCTCTTCCTGCCGATCGAAGCCGGTCTTACGACGATTCACCTTATGAGACTCTTCGTGTTCTGTCATTTTGCCGATAGCACTAAATAAAAAAATCGAATATAAATATCTGTGGTACTCAACTTCATAGCATAATATCATTAGGATCTATAAAGGTTTCAATTCATTACTTACCGATTTAATTGTGGCAATAATCCAGCAGTCAGCGATTTGATTATTCTCTTAGCTACTGACGGAGACACATTCGTTATTCTTTCAAAGGCTGGTATATTTGTAGCCTCTTTGCTAGGTTCCTCCTCGACTATCTCATCATCTGCGGCTTTCAGTTCGCTCTCTTCATCTAATTCAACATTGTCTTTAACTTCAGATCCATTTTCTTTCTCTTCTTCATCTTCAACTACTTCCTTACCATTTTCCAAATTTTCCTTATTCTCCGACGCTTTAGCCATTTTAAACTGATGTACATTTGTTATCAGAGCTTTAGGCAGTTCTATATTATTAACTTTAGAAAAATCAAAATGGAATGCATCTATAATTCCAACCAATATACGAGTCAACTGCTTTTGATGCTCTGAAGAATGTCGCATTTTATTTAGATAAAGCTTTAATATCACTTCATAATGGTACCAAGGTAGCAATCTACAACAAGTAGACACTACTTCTATACATGCGTCAATTAAAGTGTTCTTATCCGTATATTTATCATCACAAATATACATAGACGCTAGAGGGAGAATGAAGTTAGTCAAGGTCCTAGGTGTAGGGCACTTCGTCATCTTTTTGGCAACTTTACAGAATTTTAGTAGTGCTCTTACACGTCTATGCATTTGAAGGTGACACATATTGTCAAAGAAATCTACTTCTCTATCTTCTTTGTTCACGAAATGAGCCAGATCTGATACAACTACATCAGCATCAGGACATTCTCTAGCCAGTTCACCAAGTAAGTTGATACACTCATTCCTTAGCAATTCATTTTTAGTATCTCTTATTCCTGTGGAATTAGAGACAAAACAGTGTCTCTAACAAGAAACTGGCCATCAGGAGTTGACCTGTACTTCATAAGAAGTTTCGGGAGTATTCGTTTCAAACATAGTCCAGCACTGTCGCGCAGACCAATGTCTTTTTCAGTTCGAATAAAGTAGAAACAATTGTTTACTATTAATATTGCGAGATCTACGTCAATTTCATCTTTGTCTAACAACTGGTAGATCTTCTTGTATGCATCGATTCTTCTATCAAAATCTGGCTGTTCAATCCATCTTTTGTTGAAAGCATTCATTTCTGCAACTGTGTCCGCCATTCTTGTAAGCACATCTTTATTTTTAGTAGCACCTTCAGCTATTGACGATAGTAATTTTAGTAGCAATTTTCTAACTTCTACAGGGCCGACTTTGTTGAACAACACGGCTATATTCTTTATGTAGATTTGAGGATTGGAACTGTGTCCAAGTAAATTAATTATAGTATTTACAGCGTGTTCCATATTTTCTTCCGCCATATTCATGCATACTTTCTTGACTAATATTGGTAGCAGCAGATTAAGCAATTCATCACAGAGCTCTGGTGATGCAACTAATTCTGTAATTCTTGACAAAATCAGCAAATCTCTCTTATTAACAGTGTTTGACTTGGCAGAGTTCGCCATGCGTCTCTTCATGACTTCTAATATGTTTGGTATGTGCGGTATCAGAATTTTACTACCGAAATTGATGATAGTAACATTTTGAGGAGATTCCACTGGTAACACATTGAAGACTCTATTCTTGGAATTTCTTTATCTTCTTCATCTTCAGTTAAAGTTATTAATTTCTCTATCATATCTAGATCATGTTCACTACACCTGGACTTGTTTTTGGAGCTAACAGAAGTTTGAAAACAGCTGGAAGTGGACTTATTGAATCTTTTTCTGACTTAGTAATGAGTAGAATGTAGTATCGTGGGTTTTGACACCATGCATTCAATAGTCTCAAAAGTGCTGTCGGACTATGAATACCTTCAATGTGTAATTTTGGCATCAATGGCCAAATTATTGTCTCGTACATGACAAATAACTCATCTTTACTCCACGGGTATTTTGTAAATTGTTCAAATAGCTTCCTTGTGGTACCTAAAGCTAACGTACGAAGATTTTTCATGACCTTCACATACCCTACATGTACCTTGTCTCCTTGATTTAGTACAACTGCCACAGTACTACAAATGGCAAAGTATATATTGAAGAGTTGCGACAACAACGCATCATTCATGTATCCTCCAAAATATTCTCGAACCACTTCAAACAAATTCAAAATGCTGTGAAGCTTTCCAGGACTGGTTACGGACTTCAAGTCCATTTCAGTCATGATTTTCTCATATATCTCACGAGGTTTCATATCTAAGTATTCTTTGTAATACGAGAAAGCCATTTCAATGAACATTTTTAGTTCATTTTCGGTACAGCCAGCCAGATACCGCATTACAAGTGATCGTCGCGTTTGACCACCTCCTTTCTTTTCTGCTACAAGTTTTGATGTCATCTTTCCATAAAGTATTCTTAAAATAATAGGAACTACATGTTCTCTATCCTCAGACTGAATACTTTTGGCATCTTCGGTGATTTTAAATAGAGTTAGTTCATCTTTGAATTTCTTCTCATCAACCAAGTTGCACAAATTGCTTTTATACTGAATAACATTTTTGTTTTTGTAGTTCAGTACGCAATCCAAAGCATACTTCTGCAGGCCAGGGTTTTTGTGTTTTAAAAATTCCATGTACAGTTCCCAGAAAACTGGTTCCTTATGTAAAGCTCTCGGGTTTTTAAATTGAGATAACACTTGCATTATATTGATGAGAGTTTTAAAAACAATTTTTCCTGAAACAGTTTCCTTAGGATCTTCTTCCACCTCTTCAATGATTTCTTCATTGTTTTCAGTATTTTCTTCAGGCTGTTCATCATCAGTTTCCATTTTATTACCATGTGTCTCCATATCAATTTTAAGAGCATTCATCCGGTCATTCTTCCTGTATTCCTCGTCAATGAAATTCAAGAACAAAACTACGACATCGCGATTCCTTGCTTCACAAACTTGGATGCAATTCATCATAACTTTAAGGATCAAATTCCTATAATTGTACAAGTCAGGCCTTTCACTAATGCTATTGTAATCAGAATATAATGTTTGTAGTATTTCAAAGTTTGTGTCTAATTCATCATCAAATTGGAACTGTTTGAGATTTTTCTTTGCGTTTAAAAATGAGGATTCCAATGCACTATGGAAAGTCGGCCAGAAGTCGTCTACATTTAAGGAGTTTCCATAACCTGCTATAAACTCAGTTACTGGTTCCCAGAGCAGTTTGAAATTGACATATAAAGTGCCAAGCATGTAATTTAGAGCAAACAGATGGAAATCTGTATCTTTTGCTAGAGCATACTGACTGGTATTGAAGGCCATCTTCTGAAGCAGGTTCAACTGAGCCCTGTACTCTTGGATTGATGGCTTTATGGATTCGACTGAATAACATTTGCTGAATATTGAGAATTTCTCCACTGTACCACCAACTTCTACAGTTTTATTAAGTTCTTCTATATTTTCAAACAGTTTGTAAATGTGAGTAGTTAGAAGGCGAACCTGAAATTACACAAAAAAGAACATTAAATTACTTTTATACACATTGACTCTGACATCTATGTATATTTTTTTTAACATTGCCCCTCGTTATGGGTTCTCCTATGTCGTGGATGCTTTTACAAATATACATAAGACACCCAGACCCGAAACCACAATTTGTCGATCACACAACGAGCTGATCCGTGCAGGTATCGAACACGTTACGCGGCAGCCGGTTGCCCAGCCAGTACGCCAACCGTGCAGTCTATTATGTGTTTAGAAATACATGAAAAACACTTACCACATGAAAAGGAGAAGACACATTAGTTTTGAGGTATGAATTAACTAATGCCAAATATGGATAAGTTAATCCATTCTCATGTTCATAAGCTGTGAGATACAAATCTAGAAGGTGCAGGGAGCAAAGGTAATTGGGATCCGCAGCACATGGCAGGATTACAGGCAACAATGTGTCTATGTCACAAATCTCATTCAGCTTCTTACAACTTGATATATGAACGGCACTTTCTAGAGCCACTGACAGTATGAAAAGAACTTTCCTAGCTGATCTTGATAGTGCAGTAGTGTCACAGTGGAATTTATTCTCCTTAGGCTGGTTCTCTAGGTTGTAACTCTTCAATATAACCAACAGTTTTGATATCAACTGGGCTAGCATCTTCACACAATGGTCAACATCAATTTTTTCAACATGTGGCAAACAAAACAAAATATTTGTAAGCCTCACAGGATTCTCCACATATTTCTCTATGTCTTCTGACATGACATTCTCAAAATGCTCCATAAAGTTCGAAAGGTTCTTTCCAAAGTCCAAAGGGTATTTCACCCACTCAAATAACTTTATACCATTCATAGACAAGGGTGATTTTTTCAGGCATATCTTAGTTAGAGTGCCTAGAGCCTCATTATCGAAATTGGACTGAATGACAAATTTAATAAAAGGAGGTAAGATGTGTAAATCAAACTGTGAATATTCAATTACATTCTGTACAAAGTTTATCAATATGTTTGGGAATGGTAAAGGCAGTAGAACTTTGACGATGATTCCAGCATGTTCTTGAGATAAAGAAACATTTGGGGAAAGAAGTAGAACAGCTCCTATTTGAGAGCATACTTCCAGAACACTCTCAGAGGACTGTTCACAAATAACTTTTATGAGTAACAGCACAAACTGTGGGGGGTTTATCAGATACTTCCCCTGCTGATGTTCTATGACCTGACCAGCAAGCCTTAAAATGTATTCCAAACCTTTACTTTCTTCATCATCATCCTTCAATATTTCTTCAGTGAATTTAATGATGCTTGACCAGAATACACCATATTCTTTGTGTGATATAACTTGCAAACTATCCTCTATTGTCTGTGTTAGCACTTTGAACAGTATTTCTTGGTGTTCCTTATTTTCTTTAAGATATTGAAGAAGCAGGGGAAGGAATGTTTCTATACAACTGTGGAATTTTCCAGTCACTCCCCGCAGTATTTCAAATATTAGGTGACCACAACCAGCAATAGCCTGTAAAGGTATAAAAAAAATACATTCATAACATTGCAGTAAGGACTATTTCATGGAAGTGATTGGTCAAGTTACTCTACACATCTGTTACTCAGAACTGGTTGAAAATATTTGAAATAGGAAACTAATTTTTTTTAAAGGGATTAGAGTTATCTTGACATTGAGTAGTAAAAGTTGTTACTGTAAGAAACACATAAGTAATAATTATTAAATGAATACTCACATCATCATTAGTCTGCAAATAGTTTAGAACAAGACTAACAAACTTCTTTTTGTCCCTTATATCTCTTGCAACAAAAGCAAAGCTTTCAGCAGCAAAATTATTTATATATTGTGGTTGAGATTCACTTAGCAAAGGTATAATCCTCTTTAAGACCACTGCTATGTCCTTTTTCAAGTATGGTTTCAGGATTTTGAACAAGAATGCTAAACATACTAGAGTCCATTCTAGTCTATCAGCATCCTTAGTGTTTAGCAGCTTTATAAGGATATCCAAAAATCTTGGGAAGTATGGATAGAAGTCTTCTCTCAAATCTTTTGCCACTGACACTAGGATTCTGAAAAAACAAATAAGCTCTGTATACTTTACAAGGTCATAAAAGCTTAAACTTTTTAGTATTTTGGAAATTTTTTAAAAGTCAGTTTGAAAGTCTAGATTGTTTCTATTGACCCCGTTTTACGGTATCACCAGAATCTTGTCCTGATAAGGACTGGAATACCCATTCCAGTCCCATAAGATCACTCAAGTAAACAGTTAATAAATAAAGGCTGAAATATACTCTGGTTACTTACTCAAGCAGAGGCTGCAAGCACAGTTGGTCTTCTAGTTTCAAATATCTTTCCAATATCTCAACAACTTCATCTTTCTTGTGAACAAGTTGCGGCACAGTTATTATACCAAAGACTTCCTTCCTAAACTTTTTAAAATTATCTGTCAAGTTGAGCACATGCCACTTTTGTAGTGCCACGAAGAAATGAGTTTCATTTTCTTCAGGCTGCTGTGCATATGCATGCTCAATGTGGTAAAGAGCAGCATGACGGATGTCGATAGCATTGATTCGTTCCGCAAAAGGAACAAACTGTAAAAAGAAATGTTATGATGTAGTTTTATAAATACCACGCAGATTTTAGCTAGTAAGAGCGAAAATATTCATTGAAATGTAGCACACACATAATTTTTTAAAAGATAATCAAGGTTTCTACATAATTTCAAGAGCTTTTCCCACGAAATGTGAATAAAATAGTTGAAAATACAGAAGATTGTTCAAACCTCGCACTTAACCTATAACTTCATCATAATAAATGTCTTTTGATACTTACACGAAAAGTATTCGTAGACTTATGTTTAACTGGTTTACTTTTCATGTTGTAGCCGTTTATTTAGAGTATCATTTATTAACAAAATTCTCAAAAACTTTAATAAATTGTAAATAAATCCACATGCCGACGACAGAACGTCAACTTCACAACACTTCACTCACTCGTGCTGCTTGACATTGTCATATTGACAATATTAACACTTGTTGACGTTCACCGTTTTAATGTTACCAACACTTATCTCGTAGCTATTTCTCCTTGAATGTATATCAACATCTCAAATTATTTATGTTATTCTTATATTACTGAAGAAGCCTAAACATAATAAACAAGTTACAATATTATGGGTTTCCTAAAAATAACTTGAATAATACACTACCAAAGATAAACATTTTTTTATATTGATTGGTAAAAACATCCATCTGTCAGTATCTGTCAATAGAGCAGCAGCTGACTGATAAGGTATTTTGTTTTTGCTTGCTTATCAATTTATTAAAATTTACAAAAAAAAATACACCAAATCTCCATTTCATATATTTTACTATTAATGTAATAAACCAAGTTTATTAAACAATGCTTGCCAGGTTTGTGAATTCTTTGCCGACTGGCTTATCGCAGCGAATCACCAAGCTGTACTTTCAAGGTATTTTTTACATATTTTTGAAAATTTGGTTGACAATGTTGATAATTCTGACTTTCTGACTTCTCCATTCTCCATAAAAAGAGAAAGAGTATCTTATCTTAAAGTAAAACAAAAATATGTTATGAAAAAAACTATTTTGTTATTGTTTTTTTTCGTAGAATTTTCTCTGAGTACAAAAACTGCAGATATGAAAAAATATAACGAATTGAAGTCACGTAAAGGTTGTTAAATATATTTAATAAATTTAAATATTATTATAATTATTTATAAAATATATTCAACAGTTCATACAATTCATTTAAGTAGGTACTTATCACTTTGAGATAAGAAACAAAATATCATTGTAAATATTAACGCTAATCGAAAGCCTAGCGTTAGTTAACTTTACTGGAAAGTAAAGTAACAATAAAAGCCAGTTTTAATTCACTATACTGTACACACAACAGACATTTCATGAATTTCACGGTTGCTATTGTAGTTACATGATTGCTTGTAGAGCTAAGTAATTGTTCATTATTGAAAACTTCCAAGTAAGTACTTGCCTATACATGTGAAGTAAATGGAAATAGTGTTAGATTTCACATAGTAAGTAGCTTTCTCTTATTGGCAAATATAATATGGCAGCTTAACTCACCCAAATCCCTGGATTTCATTAGAAATTTAAAACTTTATGTTAGCATTGAATAACTTAAACCACAGACTAATAAATTTATACAAATGCTTGGGCTACCTTTTGTTGCAATTTGGAAATAGGATTCTACAACATGTAGACAATAAGAAAAGCTTTGATAGTACCTCAAATTATTCATATCAAAAACAACTTTGCTTTCAGTCCTTGTAAGGAACCAGCGAGAGTTACACAGCAGCGTTGAATATCACCAATATTCCAACATGGATGTTAAAATATTACCTGCTCTGAAGGACAACTACATGTACCTTCTTGTGGATAAGGCAACCAATGAGGCCGCAGTTGTTGATCCAGTGGAGACCAAGACAGTCTTACAGGCTGTTCATGATCATCAACTTAAACTCACTACAGTCTTAACGACACACCATCACTGGTGAGTGAAAACATTATTATAAAATCGTCGGCATAACTTATTTTCCGTATTTACTACATTTGCAGCTAAACTCCAATTATAAAATATCTTGTTTAGTTCATAAACCTAGGTTCTCACTTTTTTTTACCAAGGTTCTAAGATAATTCATGGCATTTCATTAAAATCTTAGTTTTGTTTAAGTTCATTTGTACTTCGGTTTGACAATCAAGTATAGCAGTACCTACATCTTCTTACCAAAAAATCTATGTTTATTACTCATAGATCTGATAAGCGGTCATTGGTGACCGCTCTCCACTACCTACATTATAGACCTTATTTCCAATGCTTAGAGACTACTATTGTATGAACAAATTTAGAGGATGAATTTCAACGGGTTAAAATTTAATTTTTCATTTTAATGCAATTGAAATATTGTTGCAGGGATCATGCTGGAGGCAATGAAGAACTAGCTAACCAAGTTCCAGGGATCGAAGTTTATGGTGGTGATGACCGTATTGGTGCGCTGACTAAAAAAGTGGAGCACAATACAATCTTTAACATAGGGAATTTGATGGTTCAATGTCTGTTTACTCCCTGCCACACAATGGGCCATATCTGCTACTATGTGACTACTCCTGGAGAAGGATCAGAAGGTGTTGTGTTTACAGGTGCGTCCTACTGCCTCTTGCAATGAAAGTCTAAAAATTATCAAAATCAATAAGTAACTTATAATTAATGAATTTTATAGGAGACACGTTGTTCCTGGCTGGTTGTGGACGTTTCTTCGAAGGCAATGCTGAACAGATGTACAATGCCTTCTCAATCCTTGGCAGCCTCCCAGATAATACCAAGGTTTATTGTGGTCATGAGTATACTTTGCAAAATCTGAAATTTGCCTTACATGTTGAACCAAGCAACAACGAAATATTAAAGAAGATTGCATGGTCAGAACTGAGGCGTGAGGAGGGAAAACCTACGGTTTGTATATTTTTATTTCATGACTTATTCATAATTTATTTTATATGTATCAAGTTTATTGGACCTTTTTACATTAATAATCCTTCTTCTCCAGGTGCCATCAACAATTGGTGAGGAGAAGTCATACAATCCCTTTATGAGAGTGTATGAGGCAGAGGTAATGCAACATGCCAATGCACAGAATGCTATTCAGGCCATGAAGAACATCCGTTTGGAGAAAGATTCATTCCAATAAATAATATTATGTAACTTACCTTCCTTGTACACAACTACTCAAACAATGAAAATACTAGATAGTAATAAATGTTGGTTGGTGGAAAAATTAATTGTCTATTCTTAAAAAACTTACTAATGTCTCCAATTGAATAGTTGTGTACAATGAACAAAATATTTTGTCACAACTTTTCGGATTATCGGGGTATATATTTAAACTGCTTTTTTGTTATTGTTTTTATTCTTGATTTATACTGAATGTCTGATATGTTTATAAGAAAGCAGAAAATATGGAACCAGTACCTAATAAATTTTTGTTATGGTTATTTGTTTTCTTATTTTTTTAATTTTTTGATTTTTTATTCCAAAATAAGTTAATTTTATCAGAAAAAGAGCTAGGTCAATGGTATTTTCAATTTCTACTTGTATAAGACTAAAAATAAATAACAAGTTGTATCTTATAAAATACTGTTTAATAGTTAACCTAATCTTAAAGCTGATGATCACAAGAAAATTAAGTGCTACTATTGGCTGGTGTCGGTAATTGTCATTGTTCCTTCTTTATGTAGGCTGACATTTGTTCTGCATATTTTTCCTTTGATCTCTCAAACATTGCTACATACACCTAAAAAAATAAAACAGTATGAATTGAAATATTTAAGAAAGAAATTAAAATTATCTAATGGGGTGGTCTGCTTAAGTGACAAATAACACAATGCAATGAGACAACTGACCTATGTCATTTAGTTTGGTACTTTACAAATTATGGAGTACATTAAATTATTGTGTATGTCAGCTTCACAACGACAACAGCATTCATCTATTATCACATTGTATATGTATAGCAGGATAGTAATTCCATCTCATTCATTATTCATATTCATTGCATCATATTTGTCATTTATGCAGGATACCTCATAATAATTTGTATTTTAAATCATACTAACGTAATTATTAAAATTGATTTATTTTTGTAAGTATTTACTCTATTTAGAATTATGTAGAGTTAAGGTCTATCTCTTGTCTTGATAAAAACAACAAAAATTATAATCATTATTAAATTAAATCCTAAAAAATACATGCAGATTTCCAGTATATCGTCGGTGTGCCTGCCAAAACTGATATGTGCAAATATTTAGTTTCTTTTTTCTTAGATAAATGTCCTTCAAATCGGATAGCGCATTGATTACAAAAACAAATATGTGTTATTTCCCTCTAGAAATCGATTAGACAAATCTTATATGTGCACTTCTGGCCATGACAAATTGGTTATGTGTTCGATTGGTTACGGGTTATGTGACAAAAAACGCACGTGTCAGAAGTTGCAGCATCACATAGATAGTTTGGCAGATTGAATATCAACAGTTTTTGTTATAATTTTTACCGTTTTCTAAGATAAATCTGATATGTGCACCAAAACGGAAAATAAAATTATTGGGGATAAACAGTATACATGTTACTTGGTACACTTTCATCTCAGTTATTTTTATCATAATTTTTGCCATCACACTGCATTTTTAATTTATTGCTAAGTCCATCAACCTTTCAGTGTAAGTGTATAAAATAGTTTATTGTCTCCTCCTGAAAATTTGACTAAATGCACACAACAGTTTTGGCAGGCGCACCGACGACATTGACATTAATATTATTCCAAAAAATATAATAAATTGATGTATTTTGAATATTCAATAAATCAAAATAAAGTCTTACTCTTTTCTCTTCATTATTGAGGGCCCTCCAACGTGAAGCCAGTTGTCTGGTAACCTCTTGCTTTGAAGGTTCGGATCCCAACTCAGAGTTAGCCTCTGCTACCACCAGTGGCCGCTGTTCTTGGCAGAATTGGAAGAATGCATTGCAAGGCTTCTTAGGTGCGTTTGGATCTCTTTCAGGCTAGAAAAGACAAAATAGTCTTAAGTTATCTGGAAAACATTATATGGCTTCATAAAAAAAAACTATAAAATTTAGTCAACAGGCATGTCTTTAATGGGTAATGTAATATAGGCAAATATCTTTGAATGTTTACAAAATAATGAATTTGTTACCTTATCTGCTTTACTCTTTCGTTTAGGTCCAGGTTTCTTACCACCAGCAGCATTCTGTTTCTCAGTTTGTTTAGAGACAGCTTGAGTCTTGCCACCTGCACGAGCTGGTCGCACTATCACCTCGGGTTTCGTCTCAACCTCCAAGCATGCAGTTCTAAACTGATCCCCATGTCTGTCTAATCTTTCCACCAATAATTTAATATCTTTCCGGTACCGTTTGGTTATTTTCTTCGCTTCATGTATTCTGTAACAATATAAGACGCAAGCTCATTCACAAATTAGCGTTTATCAACAACAATTCAATTCAAAACACGAACCTATTAATAATTCTTTCGTTATCCTGTTGTAGGACCTCACATCGTTCTAGCAGCAACTGGTATTTTCGCCTATAAATCTCCTCTTCGGATGGTAAACTAACCATATCATCAGAGTCGTCAGAAATATTCGAGTTAATCTGTTGGACTGTCATTTTAATTTATTTCACAGCTTCAAAGTTCAACGCGATCAAATTTCTTTTTATTTAGCTGTCGGCTGTCAACTGGTTTTTGTTGTTTTGATGTTGGTATCATTGTCAAATACTCTGTTCCACGAAATAAAAAAAATACTACAAGATCGAATAATCGAATAATAAACAATCTTACTTCTATTTAAATGTTGTACAAAATTCCAATATCACATGTAAATAAATTAAGATAGAGGCAAGGAAAGAAGATATAAATAAAACTAAGATTCAAAATAGAAAGAAGAAAAATATTTCAGATAGTATGTACATACAATTTAGAATTTTTTGATATAGCTAAATAAGTAATATTTTATTGGTTTATAAAATTTGTCACTAATAGTTCCTACCGAATGAAAAATTTTGTTTGCTTTGCAGTTGCAACTGGTTGCAACTTTTACCAATGGAACAATAGAACCAACATTTATAACCGGAAATACGCTAATGGCGGGGGTCTGGGAGCAGGCAGGGCGGTTTAAATTACGTTCGCTTCGCGCGAAATGCGATTTTCCTCCGGACTCTGTGTCGATACGACAGCGATTGCGCGCATCGTGATTCGTCCAGATTCCAAAGAAAATTACATCGATCGCTCGTAAACACTGCGGATTCGAGTGTTTCCTTGATGTAGACAATGCAGTAGTTCTACCATGCATATCAATATTAATTAGGAATATCATGAAACAAAGAGTGATACAGTACTTTATGTTAGTTGTTTCAATTAAATATATTGGTGTAAAATGAAAAGTGATGTGTATTTCGTATACTGACGAAAGAAAAAACAAAACACCTCAAATGAATCCTCAAAACAGCAATGAGATGGATACCAGTTTTATCAAAGCGAACTATGTTTATTTGTTTCATATTGTTATTTCTATTATATTTATTTTATGCTTTGAATTCTTGTTTAGTTGACGAAAACAAGGTAAGTTTTCTACCACAGATTATATAAGCAATAAAAATATAAATATGATTAGGTGCCTGCGCCTACTTAGATATCTAATTAGGTACAAATTATGCGCTAATTTTCAAATCCTTTCAGTTTACAATAAAATACATAATATTGAAGCAACACATAACGAAGTACAAGGCAGCTGGTGCGCATTTCGCTTCACTTTTTGGATTCCACGTGGATGAAAATTATAAATACAGACATTTGAACCAAAATCAAGTGCCGGTGAAAAGATTACCTGACGCACTTATTATTGGCGTTAAGAAATGTGGAACTAGAGCATTACTGGAGTTCCTAAGGTGAGTCAGTGCATATGGAGAGAGGGAAAGAAAGTAGGTCTCCTCAAGCTTTGAGGCTCAGAGTCTACGGTAATAGCCGTTACGGTTCCGGAAGTCCGTAGCTGATAGGTATTGAACAGAACCGATACTTCCTCATGGGTGCTATGCGACGGTGATCAAAAGGGTAGATTTAGTGAAATAAGTACTTAGGTATCCCATACTTAAGTGTCGGTTTTTTCTCTCACAAACTACCTATACTTACGCCTTTTGCCGTTACTAAAAATGTGATCATTGTTGGATTGGTCTATACCTAATATTTTAATATGGACAAGACAAGACCTAAAATATCTACCCAATAAACAACTAAGCTGTAACTGCTTAGTCTTAAAAAATAGTTTTTGTTCTTATTAGGTAATTCATGTTTCTTTAGTAAATATTTTTATAATATTTCGATAACCCCTGATATTGTTGTTGCTTCAGATTACATCCTGATGTGCGAGCCGCGGGGTCGGAGGTTCACTTCTTCGATAAATTTTATCACAAAGGCTTTGAATGGTATAGGTGAGTAAGATGAAAATAAGATCTGACCCAAATATTTATTACTTACCATGGCGGCTTCTATTTCTGTTAGGGATAAACAGAGGTGCCAGTTTTAAATGTTACCTTTTTTATGAAATAAGCCGATAAACGAGCAGGTCGTAAGCAATCGGTGCCTACTTTAATTTTGCCTGAAGTATTTGATTATTAGACCCATAGATAAGGGGTTTAAATCAAAAAAAGGTGATAATACGTAGTACCTACGTCGAGTTCCATTTTGACCGCCCTCCGAAGTCGCAGGACGGCGGACAAAGTGGAGCCAGAGTACACTCGATCGACAAGGCAGAACTTATTTTATGCCTTTTGAAATTGGTAACTTAAGAAAAGCATTGTTTACTTACAGGGACAGAATGCCCCCCACTCTTGAAGGGCAGATTACGATGGAGAAGACCCCTTCGTACTGGGTAACGAGATCAGCTCCAAAGCGTGTGTACGCCATGAATCCTAGCGTCAAACTGTTGGCGGTTGTCCGAGATCCAGTCACTCGAGCCATCAGTGATTATACGCAGTCAGCTAGGTAATGCATTTGTAACCCATTAAAAAAACGTAGACTGAGGTACAAATATCAATTTGTGGGAGTGCCATGCTTCGGCACGAATGGGCCGGCTCGACCGGAGTGATACCACGGCCTCACAGAAAACCGACGTGAAGCAACGCTTGTTTCGTCGTGTGAGTGAGGCCTCTGGTGTTCCAGGTGTCCATGGGCGACGCTGATTGCTTACCATCAGGGGATCCGTCCGCTCGTCTAGCGGTTTATGCAATAAAAAAAAATTTTGAACCGTTTCGCCAGTTATGTTATGGCCCATCCCTGAACCCATGTAATAAGTTGCGAGTCTGTCGCCCTAGGTACGTTGAGCATGATGTGTATAATATTATCCTTGAAACTGGAAGTGCTCAATGTCCAGCCTAATCTTATTATCTACTTAAATTCTATGTAAGTAATAATTAACTTAATATTTTAAAACGCATTTTTCCACTGACTGGCTTATCCTTCCTTTGCACAGTAAAAGACCATCACTCCCTCGTTTCGAAGACTTGGCCCTGGTGAACAGTTCGGCCGGTTGGGGAGGATCACCATCAGTAGTAGACGCATCATGGCCGCCAGTTAGACTGGGAGTATATGCGAGGCCATTGCGACGCTGGCTGCGAAGGTTCCCGAGAGAAAGGCTTTTGCTGATCAGTGGGGAGAGATTGGTAGCTGATCCTGCAGCTGAAATGGCAAGAGTGCAGGTAAAATCTTTTTTATTTTTCCGGCAACGCACCTGTGACTCTTCTGGTGTTACCATCAGGTGATCCGTCTGCTCATTTGCCTCATATTCCATAAAAAATATATATACCCTTTCTCTTCTCATTCAATCTTGCAAATGCAAAAACGTACCTTTGTGTGTCTCAAATTCCTATACAGTTTTTATAACTACTATATTAGTGTTTTATAGGTAGGTACTTCACATTAAAATTAATGTTTTGTTTTCAGGAATTCCTGGGCCTGAAACGCGTGATAACAGAAAAGCACTTCTATTTCAACTCTACCAAGGGCTTCCCTTGTTTACTGAAGTCTGAAAGTCGGTCTACTCCACACTGCTTAGGCAAGACTAAGGGTCGAAGTCACCCGTACATAGATCCTAGAATTCTAAAAAGACTGAGAGACTTCTACAGGCCGTTCAATGAGAGATTTTACCAGTTGGCTGGGATGAACTTCGGATGGCCTTGAAATGTTGTGATTTTGAATTTTTGCGGTATACGGATTGAAGAGAAACTAATAATATGCATGTGGTAAGAAATTGGAAGCTTATATTAGGTAATTTACAGGCATAATGCACATAACAGCCTTACTCAAGGCGCAACCATTTTTTCAAATTCGCCTTATAAATCGAGTCCATATATATTTGTAAATCACTGTAACTATTTGAGGTACTCTCTTTTTATGCTTACATACGTAAATACCGCAACTTCCTATAATGTGATATTGTTAATTTAATAATATAATTTTAACACATTATAACTATTTTGTTGTCACGGGTCAAGTTGAGGCTGAATGTGCCATAGAAATGATATTGAATAATTTTGTTATACTCTATTTCATGTTATTGTTTTAAAACATTGCAAGTCAAGTTGCATTGTTATAAAATAAGTTAAAAGTTTTAAGTACCTAGTTGCTTCTTAGTTCCTAGTCATCATTCCTTACTGAAGTGTTCCATTCAATATCATTTAACGGTGATCACTTCATAATTTATACGATTATGAAGTTCTATCATTACGTGTTGTTAATATGCTAATATATGCTTAGTAATTTAGTAGATATAAGTATTATTATTTAGCAAAAATTAAGAAAATTTGAGCACTCAATTACACTAGTCAAGAGGTAGAATGATAACTTGATTTTCAGAAGTAAATAATTATTGTATGTTGGTTAAATCCAAAACATTTCGCATCAAGCTTAAGCCGTTTGCATATTTGATCGGGCCTGTTTTAAAATCAATAATTTTAGTATCTAAACACAACGAATAACAATTTAATTACAATATTATGCCGATATAAAAACTTACAATGTATAACATAATATATCCTATATTTTTATTGTACCTGTCTTGCCAGTAATGTGAACTTAAGGTTGTGTATATTGAACGAATGAGAGTAAGCATAACGTGCCATACGAGCTAGTTAGGAAATTAAAATTATATAGAATAGACAATTTTTTATACTAAATGCTATACGAAACTCCTCGAATTTTGTTCCTATATATTTCTTAATTATGTCTCAACAAAATGTTATGACAATATAATATCAATTCAAATACATGGCTTTCTCACGTAAACTCAATCGAGAGCGAGCGTTGCGCCACGCGCTCCGTTTTTATGAACATGAGTCCCGATCTGACCCGAAACTAGTAGAGATACTCTCGAAAAGTTCGCGTGAGTATAGCCGTGTATTTAAATGAAATTTAATGACACACGAAGCCAAAATATTGATTTCTTTTAAGTTTTTAGTTAATGTAATATTTCTATTTTCTTGTGAGGAGGATCAATTCTAGTTAAATAAAGCGACGTAGTATTAAGAATATTTGCACTGAGCCCTCCAAATCACTTGTGCCATGTAGCTGCTTACTAGAGTAGATAGCAAACTATGTAATAATAAGGCTGTTTTAAAAGTTATTTGAATAAATACACATATATAGCATTGAAATAATGTTTTACTTTAAATAAATAAGGTACATCCTGTTTACAGTGTTTCAAATCAATGAAAGTTCGGGTAGTTCCTCTTTGACCTATTAAGTCTACCATACAAGTGCTTTGGCCCACTTTGTGGTGAAATGGAAGATGTCCAATGTGGCGACACATGTCACAAGTCAACGGATGACGTCATAAAATCCTACATCGCACATGCGAAGTTTACATTCGATTTAACACGGATAGAAAATCCCAACGAGCAACTGTTGGGCAGAAAGCCCGCCAGGCACGATCACCTCGCCTGGTCGGAGGATCCTCCTTTTCCGATCTTAGGGAACTATACTCTCTGTTATCTAAATCCAACATTTGCTGATGGAGTGTCCTCGAAACGGAGTAGAACGTGAGATATTCGTAAAAGATTTAAAAAAACTTGCCTGTAGGCATTATACAATCCATCTTATCTGTACCATCTTCGGCGAATATGAACAAGTTGTGCTATTTGATTTTGGCCCTCCACGAATAACAATTAATCAAGTAATCCTCTAGAGTAAAGAAAAGGTAATAGTCAAGTAATGTGAAAAGGGTACGATGGGGCTGACATATCTGTGATACAAGTCTCTAAAAAGTTTTTAGATTAAAAAAAGTGCTGTGGTCAAGGAGACTCTTTTAGTGGAATATGGCCACTATCGGGATCAGATGCGGCAGATTACAATAGCACAAACACACGGTTCTGCGTTTACGCTAAAACTGGTCAAAAAGTTAAAACATTTGGTGTTAGTATATGCAAAGGGCCTCTATAACATAGTCGGTTGTGCAATTTTATTTAAATGGGGCCTAGTGGAACTACTCGACACTCCATGAAAATAATACAATTAATGTTTAGACATGATTTTAAAAATACATTTTATATAGAATAAAATGTAAGAAGTCACACTTCTTGTCATGTCATACACAACAATGTTTAGTAAAGTCTTTACAAGGAACTGCTACACATTTTTATAGAAGCAAAACGATAAAAAAGCAATCAAATTTTGTTACAATTTGTATGAATATTTAATTTTAGTTTACATTTGTACATAATATACAACATACTGCTATGCTTATACTAAATCATTGTTTGGAACATATATAGGCAAGTCTATAGGGTTGAGTTGTACGTAGGAGACAGATCCTAGACCAACTACTGCAAACACGATTGGTACCTCGTCCTTGTATTTTGAATGCAGGGCCATCACATGCGGCGCTGGTGGAACTCCTACTGATTCACTGAAACGGACAATATGGAATATTTACAAGGATGCACAATGTGGATATTTATGAAGTATTTCAAAAAAGGGCCCTAAATATAAAAAGAAATACTTACTCTAAACAAACAATTCTGAAATGCGGCTTTGGTGGTTTTCTTTTCCTATAATTCTGTACATCTCTATTATATACATCAAAATCTACTTCCAGACTAGTTTCACTATCTGTGTCTTGATTATTTCCTATAATTCTTAATTTTTCTAGTGCTTTCGACATATCTGAAATGTCCTCAAAATCTATTAAAGGTTTTAAACCCGTATTTACTTCTGCGTCAGCTAACAGTCGTTCCCGTTCATTATTGATTGCAATATTAGTGTCTTCTAAATACTTAAAAAAGGATATTTTAGCCTCTAACCAGTTAGGATATTGATCAAATTGTTCTTTCATAAAATCGTGTAAATATTGTTCTTTGCTGTTAACTAAAAGGCGCGTGTTCATATCGAATTTAGATACAATTTCAGCCCTTCCGAAATCATCTTCTCCTGGCAGCCATTTTGCATTAAATATTTTAAGTATATGTTCACTATATTTCTTATTTTCTTCTCTTTCGTTTACTGGAGCTGATTTATCCGGTAAACTAATTTCGAACATATGTTCGGTCTGACTTGTACTTGGTCCATTAAGGGCCAACAACTTCTCAGAGCGTCGTTTTAAAATATTGAACGGATTTCTCAATTTTTTCCTTTTTTTTGGCGCAGGTGCTTCTTTAACCACACAGTCGGATTCTGAACTAGAGTCAAGAGTTATACATTTCCTATCAATAATTTCATAATTATTACTATCTAAATAAATATCTGCTTTGTAAGACTGATTGAATGTTTTGATTGCTTTGGAGAATGCTCGCCTATGAGAAGCTGTCGCTTTGTTCTTGGCTTCCAGCTCTCTCAGTCTCAGAGCCAACTGTTTCAGTCTATACAGGTTCTCATTAAATTTATCATCACCATCATCTAACCTTGGCTTTTTACTTTTTGATTCTTCATCGTCATCCAACTCTATTGTTTCAACAATTTTCTCATCGTTGATTACATCGAAATTTTCACTTAATCGTAATCTAGCTTTGTATCTCATGTTGTAAGAGTGTAATATGTTGTGTAGCTCTTCAAGTTTGCGCATGTCCGTGATACCAGAGATGAGACTTTGCTTTAGCCGCACAGCTGCATTTCTTATAGCTTGGAAATGCGCCATGTTAGCAAGTCTTACGCGTTTTCTTGCGTTACTTACGTTAGGGATAAATTCTAAAGGGGATCTTACAAAAGGAGGTGGTCTCTGATTATATTGAAAACGTGCTTGGAAGAACATAAGTTGGTAAAAATTGATGTTGTTTTGTGGGCGCCAAAACCCGTAAGGTCTGAATTGATACCTCGGGAGACGTATGTTTGGGAAAAATGGTTGATTTTGAGATAGCTCAGTTCCAGAGGCACTTCTAATGCGTCTGATATTTCTTCCATTGACTTCGTCGGAACTCGAGTAAGAAGCGTCGGATGAAGCGGAGCGTCGTGACCTCGCCTTTATATTCTGCATATCCAACACATAATTTTGTTTATTTACAAAGACATTTTTCGGTATGAACTTTTGATCAGGCACGTTTATGGCGAACACACGCTGCTTTGATAGGTCAGGAATATTCTCGAAATACGTTTGGATATTTTCTGAGTTGCTGGGTTTCATTTGCCTGTTACTCATTTTCTCTATTTTGCTCACGTAACTATACATTGAATGGTTTTGTTGCAAGTGAATAATATCCTTTAGGTCTGTGTTCATTGATAGATTTTCTTTAACATCATTTTTATTTTTACTTGTTTCTGAAATAAAACAAATTTCCCTATTTCAATTAATCGAAAATTATTATCTAAATCGAAATCAAATATTTCAGTTTCATGATTACAACAAGATTGCAGTGAAAGAAATGAATGAAATAGCAAATTAAATTATTTTTTTTTTGTAGCTTTAAAACTTCATGACTTAGAATTTTTTCTGAAGACTGTTGTTGGAACCTTGCAGATCACCTGATGCCATTTGATCGTCGACTTCAGGGACACCCTTCATGATAACAATAGACTACTTAAATTCCAAGAAACACTTCACTTACCAAGATCTACTAATACATTGGATGTTCCTGCACTCTTAGTTTCTTCAACTGCTGAAGTGTCGTCAATATTATCATCACTAATTTCAATTTTTTCATCACTTACTTCCATTACAATAACACCTAGAAAGAATTGAAGTACATTTTAATATCAATACAACACACACACATCAACAGCCCATAGGTAAGTGGTCACTGCTGATCAAAGGCCTCTTCCCGCACAGAGAAGGTTTGTCATCACGTTTGCTCAATGCTGATTGGTGATTTCAACTTATAATTAGAAATTATAAGACCGAGCGTTCGCAAGTCCGACTGCTGGACAAGGAGAATCGGGATACAATGAGTTTTTTTTTAATTCAGTAGTAGCACGGAGCCTGGAATTGTGTCCGGTATATGGCCATAGTCTCACCCCTATTACATGGGATTCATAACATAAATACTGAAAAGTGGATGTTATATTGTACTACACAGTGGCATTAAATGCCGTAATGTGCACCTCTGCCTACCCCTTCAGGGATAAAAGGCGTGATGTTATATGTTATATTATAAGCCCAGGTTTCCTCACAATGTTTTCACAGTTTTACTAGTGGTATGTAACAAATACGAAGAGATGTCATAACTGGGTTTCAGTTTAACATAATGTGTGTCACTTATGTCAGTGGTGTCTAAATCGGGGCATTCCACTTTGCGCACCTAAATGAAGCGCACCCAGACGAAGCGCACCTAAAGTATTCCACTTTGCGCACCTGTAGGTGCGCTTAAAATAAAAATTTTAAATAAATAGTTTTTCTATTCCACGAAGCGCACCTACGAATATCACTCGCATAGTGCGGAGACTAAGAAATAAAAATATCGATATAAGAACATATTTATTATTTAAAAGACTAACTTAAATATCTAACATCTGTCAGTTTCATTATAATAATGTGACACAATATTGATATTTGTCCATGTTTTTATTGTAATTATGAAACAATCTGTGATTTTAAATACTAAGATAACAAAATCAAAATGACAAATATTGTGTCACATTATTATAATCTGTCAGTTATAGTAGAATAGAGTTAGTCTTTTAAATAATAAATATGTTCTTATATCGATATTTTTATTTCTTAGTCTCCGCACTATGAGAGTGATATTCGTAGGTGCGCTTCGTGGAATTGAAAAACTATTTATTTAAAATTATTATTTTAAGCGCACCTACAGGTGCGCAAAGTGGAATACTTTAGGTGCGCTTCGTCTGGGTGCGCTTCATTTAGGTGCGCAAAGTGGAATGCCCCTCTAAATCTATACTAATATAATAAAGGTGAAGAGTTTGTTTTTTGTTTGTTTGTTTGAACGCGCTAATCTCCGAAACTACTGGTCCGATTTGAAAAATTATTTCTGTGTTGGATAGCCCATTTATCGAGGAAGGCTACAGGCTATAAAATATCACGCTACGATTAATAGGCGCCGAGCAGAGCGAGTGAAACCGCGTGGAAGTACATTGGTACTTGCGGCCGGTAGGTTTCGGCGCCTTATAGGTACCTCTGAGTCATCACGACAATATTAATATTTCACATTACTATTATCATTCCAAAATTACTATTTGGCTGTGAAAGTATCTTAGGTAAAATAGTATAGAATATGTTATAATAAACTACATACCAGGATCTGCAGCAGTAACATTTTCAGTAGAGACATCCATTCTATCTGCTTTCTTATCACTTGAAGATGACACCTCTTCTATATGTTCATTCCTTACATTAGCAGTCTTTATGTCTTTATCCTCAACATCCATTTTATTAGAAGAGTCGTTTTCTACTAATGTTTCACTTATAGCTTCACATTTCTCAGTAATTTCTTCACTAACTACGTTAATACTTATTTCAACAACCTTATCAGTTACTTCGCCACCTTTAACTTCTTCTATTAATTTAGTTTCTGTTTCTTCAACACAAGTATCTTTAGGGCTAAGGGACTCATTTTCTGTAACTACTGTTGAACTCTTTGCATCACATTCTAAGTTCTCTACATTTCCAGGTTCTATTTCTCTATTTGTTATTAAAGGATCAACCTTTTTGGTACCATCATCAGCTGTTTTAATTTCTTTATTTTCAGAATGGCTAGTATCTTCAGAAGCACTATCATTGGTAGATTGTGAATCTTCAAGTTGACTAGTGGCTGTGACATTACCATGATCCCTTACATTTTGAATTTGTTGGAATGAGGATTTTATCTCATCATTCCATTTAGGTCCTACATGTCTAAATACTTTGTATCCTACCCTACTGAGTGATGCATACACTTGATATTGTATCCTATTTGATGAATCAAGTAATAAAGAATAAGCTTTTTGTAATGATACCGTGACTTCATTGTGCTTTAGTTGTAGACAGTTCTGTAAAGAGAATTATAGTAATAGTAAACATTTTTTTCTACACAGTTAAGTGTAGACTTACGATATTTCTACATAATAAAATAAATGGCTAGACAGCCAAATAATTACAAATTAGTTTTGAGTGGCTTTAGTTTCTAATTTAAAATTACTGCCTCGTTGGCCGGGTCACTCGGGCAACGAGGCAGTCGCCGGTCAAGGGGTCTCAGGTTTGATTCCCGGGTCGGGCAAAGTTCTAGTGGGCTTAAAAAAAATCTCAGTAGTAGCACAAAGTCAGGAATTGTGCCCGGTATATGGCAATAGGCTCACCCCTATTACATGGGACTTATAACATAAATAGTAAAAAGTGGGTGTTACATTGTACAGTGGCATTAAGTGCCGTAATGTACACCTCTGTCTAGCCCTTCGGGGATAAAAAGGCGTGATGTTATGTTATGTTTTAAATTAGATATTATTTACCACTAGCTTATGAATTAAATTAGCTTCTCCCAAGTGTAACAAATACTTTTCTGAAAACCGAATCAAAATCGGTTCAGCGAATTCCGAGACCATCACGCACAAACATGCATACCATACCATTTTTTTAAGTTGGTTAAATATAAACACTTACAGTTTCCATTAAAAACAATGTTTCCTCAGGGTTAAGAAATAAGGTCTTGCCAACATTATGACCCAAGTACTGCCAATGCCCACCACTCTTTTGTGTGACTTCAGCAAGCTTCAAATCATCTCGCCAAATAGCATGACTGAGAACTCCACTGGAATTTTATAAATCATTCAATTATGATCCCTATATTAACGTTAATAAAGTATTATTTTGGTGCATTCTTAGAATATAATTTTTAGTTGACAATTTTGACTTACTTAATATGAACTCTCTTATTTATTTTTTGACTTTTCCCACCTTGGATTAGGTGAAACAACTCAATGGCGAAACTATCAGTCGTAGGAAACTAATGAATTGTTTAGGAAGTATAAACAAGCAAGAAACAAGAACAATATAAAACAATAAAGTTACGATGATCTCTGGCAAAAATTAATAAAATCAAATTACATACCATTTCTCAATCCTCTCAACTTCAATTAAATACTTCCGAGCCTCCAAGGCAGCCTGTATTTGTTTCTGTTCAAGCCAGGAGCCATTGGGTGCAACATCTTTCAGCCCTATCTCAGGAAGGGATGCCTCTATTTTTGTAATACCCTTTGCTACTAAAGCCGCTCCCCTGAAAATAAAATAATGTACTTAATAAGAATATATTTTTGGTAAAAGTTGATGTTTATTAGTGGGCACCAAAACCTATAAGGTCTGAATTGATGTATAGGGAGACCTCAGGTTCCGGAAAAATGGTTGATTTTGAGATACTTCGGGTCTAGAGGCACTTTTTATATCTTTTATTTCTTCTATTGACTTCATCGGAACTCAAATAAGAAGCATCAGATACAGCGGAAAAATTAAAAATTTCTAATGAGAATATTCTTATTATGTAAACAAAATTAGGAGAAAGACATGGGTCTTATAACATAATGGGTACAACATGTATTGTATATGTTCACCTCTGTAACTCCATTATAGATTCAAAGGTGTATATTGTTAATAAGAAAGTAAATAAAAAACCAAGTTGTTTCTGCAAACAGAGATAAAATCGCAGTGCAAAGAGATGGGATGGGATTGCTTTTGTAAAATAATTATTTATGTAGTAAGTCACAAGTTCCTATCAAGTAATACAGTGTGTACCGGCTTATGTAAACTAAATTAATTGTAGTCACAGATAATGCTTACAGATAAATCTACATTATTTTATGTATGAAGAAAAACAATATAAGTATTGTGTTAATAACTTTAGTATGATAACTTATCACGGCCGTTTCAGGCAGTAACATGCATTTGTGGAAAGCTACTTGATATTAATTACATTTTATGACTAAACTGAAGATTCAAAAACCAGATTAAGATATTTTTTGAGGATACTTGAGAAAAATGAGGCTGAATGCCAACGTTATAAGGAATTCTTTATAAATATTGTTTAACATTCACAAGGTTGTATCATTCGAAAATAAAATGGAACAATATTTTTCAAGACTATTTATGTTCTTGACGAGGTACACCGCAATAAGGAAAAACAACGAATTTAATGTACAGAAAGAAATGTTCCAAAAATAATTCACTTACGACAACACTCTAGTTTTCTCCATTGCTTATTTATACGCGGTTCATGACTTAGCTGTTCATAATTTTGTCTAAAGAAAACAAAACTCGAGCCTGCAAGCCCAATAATCCTGTGGCAAAATGTCTTAAGTCTTTTGACTTTGACAGTTTTGACATAAAATTTTGCGTTTCATGCCCACCGGAAAATGTTCATCATCATAAATATTTCATATTGTAGCGTCTCCCTCATTCAAGAAGTAAAATTTAATAATTTAATTTGTATTCATATTTTAAGTTGTATATATTTTCAGTTTGTATATAGTTAATATTAATTTTATTTAATTAATTAGAAGTAAAAACATGATAGCCAAAAAACATATCGGCCTCGGATGTTTGAACGTTTACTAGAAATGCGCCATAGATGGCAGTAGTTGTAACTTGCCTATAATTTTGGTTTCAAAAATTATTCTAAGCGATAATTTAAAAAATCTAGATTAATCAAATCATCAGTGTGTTTATTTTTTTTAAAGGCTATTTAGCTATCAAAGCTTATTTAGCTTTTAGTCTTTTTTGATGCTCAAAAAGGAAATTGAGACACGTTAATAATAAAGCACTTAAATTAAAAGTTACTTTACTTTACTTTAATCCAAATTAAAGAGTTTATACTTAACTTTTTCTTTTATGTTTGTAAACTGTAGTTAAAGTTACTTAATAAGTATTGCAAAAATTTAGAGGTTTTCGAAATCAATACAATTTTCGATGATCATTATTAAATATCTCTGTAAAGTGGACCAACTCAATGGATAATTCAATTGACAGCTGTTCACACTAGTACTTAATAACTAAAAGGGAACGTGAACTCAATTCTCAGCGGAGTTAACTATAATAGTTCGACTAATATGTATTACTTATGTATCTGCATTGGTGCAACCGGCGTCGCGACATTGGCTAACTGCAAAAACAATCCAGAGCAATACCACGAAAAGATGAACGGTGCGAAAACCCCACTCATAGAGTCAAGTTCGGTGACTTTTTCATTTAGTTGGATAACAACAACACAACCGTAGCGTAAGCTACAAAGTTGTAGACTCGCGTAGTAGCTACGTTGTAACGTAGCACGTTTGTAGCATGCCTAACGCGTATCGATTAGTCTCCCGGAATTACCCGACGACAGGCGAACGTTGCCGAATACTTCCGACTTCACCCGAGATCTACGTCCATACATAGCGGAAGTAATGAAATGTACAGAAAGATATGAACCGGAAAAATTGTCGCTCTCTTTTTCTTCACGTCGCGTCTTATCCGGGTTCCTAAAAAGGCTTCCTTTGTCGGTTTTCCCTTTCAACGCATTTTGCCTTCGGGCTGTAACGAATGGATATTTATATCAAAGATGACAGACGACCTACGACCATGTATTAAAATTCCAAGCCATTTGGATTTTTGAATATTGAAAAATTTTATACTTTTAGGCAATATTGATAGAATATTGTAATTTCGACAGGAACCAACTGCTCATTTATCCTAAAATTTAAAATTCTCTTCATACTTATCACAAAGACTTTCCTACTATACAGGGAAAGGTACCCAAGTTCTTTAATGGAAAAGCGTCATTAAAGTTGTAGTTAATTGGCTGTATGGTGAGAGCCTAGTCGGGATGTCGCCGGGAAGTTCCCGTCGCGTTACGACCGCAGTCGGCGAGGGCTGGAGGCGATTTAACGTATTGTAATGTGAGTTTATACGACATGCCTCCCCTCGGCCCCGACGCCTTGCAGCTAATGCCATAGCTCAATGATAGTCGCCAGTTCACGCAAGCTGAGCCCAAGCTAGCATCGGTTTAAAGAATTTAAAATTAGAACTTTCAATATTCGAATAGAAACCGAACCTTCTGTTTACAGACGATCGAAGGGCGGGGATGGGGTGGCGCACCCCAAATACATACCATGTTATTTATGGTATATTTTGACGTGCTCGCTCGCAGCTAACTTCAAGTCGCGTAGGATAATGGGGTGATGGATAGTGTTATCGGTCGCTATTCATGGTGTTCCGCGTTCAACTCGTGTATTTATTATTATTGTGTCGTGGAAATCCCCGTAATTAATTAAAATGGAAGTGAACAGTGTTCTTTCAGTGCTTTTCTAGGTAGACGACTACCGACCGGCATTTCTCTCAATGCAGATTTTAGAACAGGATAAGCTGAACTGGTTATTGGCTTGCAGTTTTCCTATAGTTCTTGAGTTAAATTGTATGAATTCAATAGTAAAAGTGAAGTGAATTTAATCGATAGTTTTTTTGGTCCTGAACATATTTAAAAATATCACTAAGGTAAGTTTTAACCTAATCTGAAAGTATTAGTACATTTAATATTTATTTTTAAATAATTCGTATTATAAAAAATAATTGGTTCAAATTGTTAAAAACGGTCATAAACAGTTACTTCAGATCTAAATAAATGCTTTTTAATTAAGTGAACATGTGTTTGTTTACTATTTTAAGTTACTATTGTTGTATGAAAATTCTATGCCAATCGTAGGTAAACATAGTGCATTTCCCGGATGTTTGAGTACAGCGCCATCTCTTAATGGCTTATATTACTAACGGTAGTTCATACTTTTGCCGATGTCAGTGGCGCCAAAGTGTCAACCGGCGACACGCCTGCAGTCACGCGGCGTTGACGCGCGTCGCAACATGTTTGCGTGGGTGTAGATCGCATCGCGATAAACAATTTATGTGTTTTCTTCCTTATCAAGTAATCAAAGTAGTGTACTGAAGTTATCTACAATGTTGTTAGCATAACATAATTGGAGATAGTTACGAATGTTTACAAGTGTGCATTGTGGAGTTCTTGTCAGTGTTTCGTATGTGTGTTTTGTTGTTGCCGATAACGAGGGCAGGATTTTGGCCGTGCAGTTAAAGGTCTAGGGCCGGCATGAGGAAAATAAACGGTGAGATATGAAAGTACAAAATGCTTTGAAGCATGCTTGCAGCGCATGAACTCCGCTAGTTTAATAACATAGATAACAGCCATGTGAGAATGTCACCGGGTTGTGTCCGCTGATAACAACAAATAGAACGTAGAGTTCAAAATAAAACATGTTCAAATATTCAGAATGAATGAAAATTAGAATTTCGAAGTTTATAGCAAAATGTTGTTGCCCGTAGCTATTGTGTCAAGAACATGGGGTGCTTGTAATTTAATAGGGGACCGGTGTGCCGTAATAATAGCTGTAGGGTTCGCACTTTTACCCTTGAATTTATCATCACAGAGACATTAACGTCCGCAAGACTACTAACTTTAAATAATTATAAAATTATGTTATGACCTTCAGAATATATTTCTTAACATGTGAATTGTGAATATAATATTCACAATTAAATAAAAAACAAATGGTATTTAAATATCTGTGCTCAAAATAGAATTGCATAAGAGATGGAGGAACGACCGAAAATCATTAACCGTAGCAGATCCCATACAAATGGTCCATAAACGTAATCCGACAATGTTTGATGGGTTGCCGGCCGGGCGGCCGTTCGATTGCGAAACCGGCATTCTGTGACCGCCTAGACAAAAGTGGCGTATACCATCGAGACTAACAACCTAGCAAATATCTATCGTAGTGCAATGTGTTACTTACTGCATCCTTTCTCATATATTTAGTAACTTAAGACTTCATCGGTCAAGGTCGCAACACAGAGATCGTTAAAACATCATCTACCGAGGACAAAGCCGATGATGTAATGGTTAACAACCTTAAAGGAAACCAATGGCATTATAAAACCATTGAGCTGCTTACTTACCTACTTAATATTCCATACAGAATCAAATTTAAATTTTCATACATAATTTAGAGTTTCCATTTTGTGAATATGACGCGTGAGTTCTGTGTTAGACGCAAAGCGAGATTTATTGTTTAATGATTGCGTCGTCGCTACGGTGCAGAATATCTATTTGCTTAAATAACATGAACTTGATGGGATTAATGCTCAAACCTTCTGCGTGTGAGAAGAGGTTTGCTCAGCAGTGGGTATTTATAGGCTGTTGATGATGATGATGATGATGATGGGACAACGTCCTTTAGACGAAGTTGTAAGGCTGCCTCCTACTGATGTGATGGCTAATTAAACTGTATCCATCAAACTTTACCTGCCAATAAACCGGAATTCGGACAAAGTTAATTATAGTCTGACCTTACGGACTTTCAGTAACATGGTGCGAACATCAAACTTGCGGCAGTTTTATGAGCTCAAGAAATGATGGAGCTGGAGGGGTCGATGGCCGAAATTTAGTTAATATGCTTGCACGTACCGGCACAAAATCAAATAAACAGTCGCTTTCATCTCCGGTTTATCGGCGATGCACTTGGTAGCCTTGCACTTTGTGTGTGTGAACAACTGTTCAGTTGCAACGACCATTACTCAGACATTCGAGGTTGCCGACTCAATTGCAATTCATATCGATTATTTAATTTGCATTGCCTGTCGACTATAAAAGCGTACACTTCGCTGGCATTTCCCTAGGGCTTGATTAAAGTTTTAATTCCTTTAATTGTTGAGCAGTCGTCTTATTTGCCTTTAATGAGCTTGGGTTAATTTCTTAAGGTGGATAATGAAACTTCTCCGACTTGATGAAATTCCGTATAAACACGCTATTGCATTAAAGCCTTCTTCTAGCAAATGTGAGTATGTATGTTGTCTATTGTCTACAGAGTGCACTTAATTCAAGTGCATTGTTTGTTATTCATTAACTCATAAAACAATTTCTAGCAATCATACGTCTAATAACCGATAATGCTTCTATTGATTTTGCCAGTGGCTCGGAACAGCACTCCAATATTGACAATGAGCGGTAGTTTAGACGCCACTACGTGCTTTGGGAGTTGATGAGAATGGTACGTGACTCCCAGTTCATTGCTCCAGTTTTTTGCCACTTGATCTTGTGAATGAGTTTGCAGACCTTGGCTCGAAGACAAGGATCTTAGGCGGCAGGATTTATGGCTACAAAAACACTTTACGAGTGTCCGGACAAGCTTTGTGCATACCTACTCACTGC